CCCGCTCTTCTTCCTCTCTCAGAGCACACTGACGGGTAACCATGGGAGTTGTACTGTCAAAAAGCTCTCCTTGATGAAAATAGAAGCTGAAAAAATTACAAGTTGTTCTTGTATAGAAGCCCACAGTTTTGTCCACTTGAAACATTATCATACTCAGGCTTGTGCCGTAGACTGGCAGAGAGGTGACCGCCGAGGGCCGACAGCTGGTGACACTAAGGTGGAGCCTCTCTTAGGCTCTGGGTCATGGCTAACAGGACCTTTTTTTATAGAAAAATAAAACTTACCTATTTGAAAGCCTAGTTTTAAGGTAAATATTTCTAAAAATGTGTTATGCTTTCCTCTACCTTAGTCAACAGAAGGCACTGCACATTATCAGTTGAGGCTGGGCTGTCAGAGCTGGGAGGCAGGGGATTGTCACCTCACTTGGTTCTCAGCACAGACGCGGGTTTCAGTTTCCCTCCCACTACCTGAGGCGGTGACTTGACCTCTCTGAACTTCATTTTTTTAATATGTGAAATAATACGTATGATAATTCCTCACAGAGTTGATTATACAATTGATTTATCATTATGATTCCATTTATATTAAGTCCAGAATAGGTAAATCCAGAAGGTAGATTAGTGGTTGCCCAGGGCTGGGGGGAGGGTGAGTGGGGAGAGACTGCTGATGGGTGGGAGGCTTCCTGAGGGAGTGATAAAAATGTTCTAAAGTTAGATTGTGGTGATGGTCGCACAATTCTGTGAATATACTAAACCTAGGTGCACTTTAAATGGGTGAATTTTGTGGTATATGAATTATATCTCAAAGGCGCTTTAAAAATTAAATGAGCGAATTAATGCATATAAGGTGTTTAACACAGTGAGCAGTGCATAGTGGGTGAACAGTGAATATCAGCTTTTTTTTTTTTTTTGGCGGCACTGCGCGGCATATGAGATCTTAGTTCCCCGACCAAGGATAGAACCCGTGCCCCCTGCAGTGGAAGTGCGGAGCCCTAACCACTGGACCGCCAGGGAAGTCCTGATATTAGCTATTCTTTTTACTCATTAGTATTAACCATTATAGTCATACTGTCATACTAGAAAGAGCTTTGAAATATGTTGGATTTTCCTCCCAGATACCCACCCTAATGGTATGGTCTGAGTTGTACAGACCCCTGTGGCCAACCCTGTTCACCTGTGCCTCTCGCCCTTCATCTGCCAGGCCAAGGGGATGAGCAGCATTCCAGGGGTAGCCATGCATGGAAGGCAGAGAAGGGAAACTGGGAGGCCCAGGTTACCATCCCACCTCTTCTATCTTCTCAGGCTTGTGTTTAGATCTTGGTCCATCTGTAGGTTCATGTTTGTGTTTGACTTTATTTTTTCCAGCATATGGAAAGCCATCTAGCCTAACACCACTTGGTGAGCAGCCATTCCTTTTTCCACAGATGTAAATTAGAAAAATGAAAACCACACATACACACATGTAATAAATTGTGTAAATAATAATTTTTAAAGCCCTCTTGGCTTAAAATATCTCATAGTTCCTTTCCACAATCCCTGAGATTCCCATCATGCCCATTTATTTAGGGAAAAGCGCTGAGCATCCTCTAAGAAAATGTCAATGTTGCTTTGGTAAACTAATACACTGAGCTGCCATTAGCTATTCCTCTATTACCATTCAGCTGACATGAGAGAAGGCAGCATGCCTGTGCAGGTGCGTTTTGACTGATTCAGAAAAGAGTCGAGCAAAGGTGCTGCAGGGCAGAAGTGGAAGGAGTGGACCTCGATCCCTGCTGAGCATCATGGCCAGGAGAGGGGCGAGCCCTGAGGGGACAGGAGCCATTGAAGGAGGGAAGAGAAAAGAAAGGGCACAGGGCTTCCCTGGTGGCGCAGTGGTTGAGAGTCCGCCTGCCAATGCAGGGAACATGGGTTCGTGCCCCGGTCCGGGAGGATCCCACATGCCACGGAGAAGCTGGGCCCGTGAGCCATGGCCGCTGAGCCTGTGCGTCCAGAGCCTGTGCTCCGCAACGGGAGAGGCCACAGCGGTGAGGGGCCCCCGGACCGCCAAAAAAAAAAAAAAAAAAAAGAATGGGCACAAAATTTGCCATCGTTTATTCCACAGGTTTGCCAGTGTTGAAGAATTTTAAGTTATAATTTCAAATAATATCCTTCAGTCAGATTTGATGATGCTGATGTGGATAAGCCTGTCTCTTCATATAAAGAAACTAAGAATAACAGCTGCCTGTCAATAAGAAATGGTCACTCTTCAAATTCAGCTTCTCCTCTGGCCAGTCTAAGCAGTTGGTTAGATGGGTAGAGAATACTGAATTCTCTTTGCTAATTTACTTAGAATTACTGGTGAATAAACCATTCAGATTAAATAGGAAATCCAGGCCAGGCATGGGAGGTAGCCTTGGCTTTCAAATTAGAGAAGGCATTCAGTTAAGTGGTAATAAACAAAATGGATTTTAACTTTTTGTGAATTACCCTTTTGTGGAAGTCGTTAGCTCTTTTCATTACAAAAGGCAAGAGCATGAATTGCAGAACTTCCTTCTTTTCCCATCTTAATGCGGAGACTGCTTTTAAGGCTCTGTTCTTAAGGTTTAGTCCTGATCACAGTTTATGGGAAAAGTGACCCTTGAAAGGCAAAGAGGTCAAAAACCACCACTTCAGGATAGAATAGGTACTGCTTTAAAAAAAAAAAAAAAGTTAAGTAATTTCCTTTTGTTTTACTCTCTTGCTTTTAAAAATGTTTTCCTCTGGCAAGGGCACATGCCTTTTCAACTTGGTAATGATTCCCTTGTCTGGCTCAACTGTGTGGTTTGCATCTTGTACTCATAATGTAATTGTGTCAAGAGGACCCTAATGAGGAAAAATAAAATGGTCTCAGAGTGAATAATAAATCCAGCGTCCATCCTGCACACTCCATTCACCGTCCTGTTTTCCCCCTAAGGATCCAAGCCACACTCAGAAGCCTGTTGACAGTGGTGCCCCTCATGCTGTCGTTCTTCATGATTTTCCGGCAGGTAAGGACATAAGCAATAAAGTGGTAGAACCTTAGGATCTGGGATCAGGCATACTCCCCAGGTTAACCTCTCAAGGACATCCTTCTCATTTTCTGCACCAGCAGAGCCCTGGACTGGAGAGGTCATCTCATCCATCACCCCACCTTCAGGAAGAGTCAGCTGTACCCAGGCATTCCAGAAAGCTTAGCTGTAATAGCTTTGCCTTTAAAACTCCCTGTGAGAGAGAGAGGAGTGTTTCCCTTACAAATGAACAATTAGCAAATTGCCTACCAGTTGCAAACTTTTTAAATCTTTCAAAATGGGGTACCAAATACCAGTTATAATGAAATTAATTTGAATTTAATAAGTGGAGTTCTTTTCTCCTAAGGGTTGTAAAACCAACACACATAGCTCAGCTATTACTTATGAAATGAGTATAAAATAAAAAATAGGGACTTCCCTGGTGGCGCAGTGGTTAAGAATCCGCCTGCCAATGCAGGGGACACGGGTTCAATCCCTGGTCCGGGAAGATCCCACATGCCGCGGAGCAACTAAGCCCATGTGCCACAACTACTGAGCCTGCACTCTAGAGCCCGCGAGCCACAACTACTGAGCCCATGCACCGCAACTACTGAAGCCCATGTGCTCTAGGGCCCATGTGCCGCAACTACTGAGCCTGCATGCTGCAACTGCTGAAGCCCATGCACCTAGAGCCCGTGCACTGCAACAAAGAGTAGCCCCCCTGGCCACAACTAGAGAAAGCCCGCGTGCAGCAGCGACAAAGACCCAGCACAGCCAAAAATAAATAAATAAATAAAAATAAATAAATAAATAATATAAATTTTTGTAATCAATTTTTAAGTACCTTTTATATCCAAGGCTACAAATAAAATAAATTCCTGATTTATTTATAACCTTTTTTTTATCCACTTGGTAGACTGATTTTTGTTTCACTGTGAGTAAATTTATTTGCAAAAGAGCTGTAGGACTCCCTTAGTTAATATTTTGAGATTGAAATGATTTTTAAGCATGGTTGAGAATAATATGAATATTATACCATGTCTATAAAACTCTTTTCATTGTTAAAATATGTATTCAGCAGAGGGTTTATATTGACGCAGGAAGAATCCTTGGCCAGCACAATGTTTTGTGTGTTTTTTAACCATTTCCTATCAATCAGTGCCTGGTAAATATATCTAATTTGATCTAAAAAGAGGAGGCTCATAACAACGATATCCAGGAAAAAATAATATATTTTTAAAGTCAATTTGATTAGTATAACCTGTTCTCAGAATCAGTAGAACATACTGCCTCGGTAGACAGAACTAAATGCTACTTTAATCAGATCTGCAAGCAGGGTAATTCATCATACATAATTATTTTATGTTACAGAGCAAGTTGATGATTTGAACCTCACTTCAGGAGAAATTGTTTATCTTCTGGAAAAAATAGGTACAGATTGGTACAGGGGGAAATGTAGAAACCAGACTGGTGTATTTCCTGCCACCTACGTCAAAGTGATTGTAAGTAGATTGTTTAAATTGGTCATATATTCAGTGAACTCTGTGTAATTTACAGTTTGGAAAAAAAATAACCAGAAACCTAGATTCTTGGGTTCTAGTTCTCTCTCTTCTGTTAATTCATTTGGTGTTTGAAAAATTCAGAAATAAAGGTTTGTTCAATTAGATACCAGTTAATTATTCATATATTATGGAATATTAGAACTTAATGCTTAAATGCTATCTGAAATCCTAAAGTGAAAACTACCGGTCCACTGGTGAATCAGCTGTTCTTGGAGGGTTGATAAGCACTTGAGGGTATATGTTAATTCTTTGCAACATTCAGCAAACAAGAATTAAATGAGGGGCTTCCCTGGTGGCGCAGTGGTTGAGAGTCCGTCCGCCTGCCGATGCCGATGCAGGGGATACGGGTTCGTGCCCCGGTCCGGGAAGATCCCACATGCCGCGGAAAGGCTAGGCCTGTGAGCCATGGCCGCTGAGCCTGCGCGTCCGGAGCCTGTGCTCCGCAACAGGAGAGGCCACAACAGTGAGAGGCCTGTGTACCGCAAAAAAAAAAAAAAAAAAAAAGAATTAAGTGATACTGGATTGTCCTGAAGGAATGTTTGTTCTCTGAGGTTATGGTACCACTTCTCCTTTTCTTTGGAGTACGTTTCGTTACTGGTTTCTTTCATCCTTTCCATTCCCATTTATTTCAACCTTTAAGAAAACAGATTTGGGAATACCAAAGTACTTTCACTGGAGGTAATGGTCCATTAATGATTTTTCACATAATAATTGCAAATCTGACTGGGAAACATATATTAAAGTGTCCGAATTTTATACACCCTCAAAGCGTAACTTGTGTAAGTAGAGCCCTGAGTGATAAGCCCGGGTGGCTGAGAAACATGGGATGAAATTCAGACTGCCACTTGAACGTTTATAACAGCAGGAAGAGAATGACTCAGTCTCTAATATAACTTATTGGTACTGGAACATATCAATAAACCTGGCTTAAATAGTTGAGCATTAACTGCTTGGCGGGGTGGGGGGAAGAAAATGATTTTCCATTACATCAGAAACTTAGCAAACAAATATAACAGAAAACCTGTATTTTTTAAGTATGAATGAGGTTGAGTCTCTTGAATTATGAAATGTGGGTCTTAAAAATTGTCTGGTATATAAAAATACCCTGATTCTTTGGAGAAATCCAACCACATTCTCTCAATTAATATTAAAGAGTAATGTTAGTTGTAGCACTCTTCCTCATTTTTCTTCTGCCCAATGTAGCAGTACTTTAAAAAGCACAATTACCACACTGAAATCAATCACACTGAATTTGCCAGATTATTGGTGTAAGTGTTATTTCTAAGCCTACAAGTTTAAAAAATTGTTTTAAGACTTGGAACTTTTGAAATTCATTAAGAAGGGCACTGATTTATTTAATGTAAACCTCAAAGCCTTAAGTAGTTTTCAGACTTATAGTGCATTATGGTCAAATATTTCATCACAACCCAGCTCTCTGGAGCCTTGTAGATGAGTTATTATATAAAGTGCTTGCCTCTTAGTTGATGCTCACTGAGTACTAAGTCCTCTCTTCCTTCCCTACTCAACGTTGAAGGGGAAAAAGTGTTCCAGGGTTATGAAAATGGAGAGAATCCACAAGTTTGATGAAAAGATTTTATTTTAGGGTCATGAAAGTATTGCAGAGTTCTACCAACAGTTTGAATAGGTGTCTATGTAGTGCCTGATGCCTAGTTTCTATCCTAAGCCCTCCTCACCTGAAGTTTTCAACTTTGGGGATAAGGGGTGGAGTATACTCAGTCAGGGGTAGAACGACATTAATGTGCTTATTCCAGCAAATAAGAGGATTGATTGGTTATTCAAGGAAGGCTACATCACAAGTTACACATTTTTTTAAAAACCCAAATTCTGGATTTCATACCTTTGTAGCACCTGTGGTACATTTCGTCAGTTTAACACCTAGCTAAACTGGCTAACTTCAGTCATGAATTTGCTAATTACTTAGCTTAAATTTATCTTATTAAAATCTGAAAGAATACAGCTGTTGTCTTGATTTTTGTCTTTACTAGACTGATGTTCCAGGAGGAAATGGGAAAAGGGAATCCGTCGCATCTCATTGTGTTAAGTAAGTTTTACTTGTGTTGTTTTGCACAAGATACAAAGGATGTGATCATTTGTCATACAGAATAAACACTTCAGATGTATAATTATTCAGATTCTCAATGTGTCTTTTTAATTATGAGGTAAACTACTTGTTTAAAAATTCTGGTGAAATTGCAACAATGCTGATAGAAGCAACTCTCCATATCAATACAGGCCATATAGACAGGCACAGTCTATCCCAGTGTGTCCTATAGCCTGGCCTCACCCGAGCAGAGAGGTTTCATCATCCAGGGTATTTTGTGTTGGCCTTCTGCTGTTTATCTACCAACAGATTTCTAGAAGGTTCAAATATTTTTGTCATAGTGTTAGGGAACCGCTGACGGAAACCACCCACCTTGGCTAGGCACGATGATAACCACTTGCACGAGTTGTCTCACAACAGGAAGTCCCGATAAGGAACGTGCTGCTAACCAGAATTCAGGAGGGGCTGAAAAGAGGGAAGAGATACCAGCCCATAATATGTCTTGTAAAACTAACCAGAAGAATTCAGGAGGGGCCAAAAGGAGGGAGGATACACTAGCCCTTAATATTGTCCTACCAAAGTCCCAGAATCCTTCACACTGGAATCCATCTTGGCTGAGAGATGGGCGCACCACCAGGAAGGACCCTGAGTCAGACTAAATATGGGCCAACCAAGATGACTGGGAAGAGACAACCCGGAAACTAACCCCATTACCATAAAACCTGAGACTGCGAGCCACGTGGCAGAGCAGTTCTCCTGGGGTCTCTTACCCCGCTGCTCTCCACCCAGGCGCCCCTTCCCAATAAAGTCTTTTGCTTTGTCAGTACGTGTGTCTCCTCAGACAATTCATTTCTGAGTGTTAGACAAGAGCCCACTCTTAGGCCCTGGAAGGGGTCCCCCCGCTTCCTGCAACAATAGAAAATATTTAAACCTGACAGAGGGACTTCCCTTGTGGTCCAGTAGTTAAGACTCCGTGCTCCCAATGCAGGGGGATCAGGTTCAATCCCTGGTCAGGGGACTAGATCCCACGTTCCGCAACTAAGAGTTCACATGCTGCAACTAAAAGATCCTGCATGCTGCAATGAAGATCCCACATGCCACGACTAAGACCCGGTGCAGCCAAATAAATAAATATATATTTTTTTAATGAACAAAAAAGTAAACCTAACAGAAATATGAACCCTACAAGAACTGCTAGGCATTTTGTATTGTTTTGTTTTTGAGAGGAGCTAGAAGAAAGTAAAGGAAGAGTTAATTTGGAGGGGTCTTCTTTATGTTTGAAGACCTTTCCATGAATTTATGTACCCTTTTCTGCATCACTGTAACTCCTTTGTGATTTAAAACATTGCCACAATGCAACTTTATATTCCAGTTAAATGAGCAAATTAATAGAATTCAGTACCTGCTGAAGACTGTAAACCTGTCTTTGAATAGGTCAGACATAAGAAGATATGCTCCCTGAGGACTTTAGAAAATAAATGCAAAGGTTATCACAAATAAGAAAACTTCTGATGCCACAATAGTTTAATTCTATTTCAGGTTCAGTTTTTCTCCTATTTTTAAGCAGTGTTTACTGTGTCAGCAGGTTGAATTTAAAGTGGGCTTTCATGGCTGTTGATCCATTGACCTGACTTAAATCAGACTTTGATTGGAGCGAGTACCCACCTATATTCTCTTCAGACAATTGCATCTCCTTAGTCATAGCTGTTGAAACTTCCTTTCCAAAGCCTCAAATCAAAGGTTTGGGGTTCAATCATGTCTTCTAGGGACACAATTTCATCTCTGTTTTTATCTTATTTTCAGTCAAAATTGTAGATCATTTAAGGATTGTTCTAATTCTCAGAAATGAAGCCTTTTTAAAGGAGATACAAAAATCATTTTTAAAACAACAGTGTAAGATATAAGATTAAATGTTATAAGATAATAAGCCGAGTTTCTGTTTTCTTCGAACCTTCTAGTTTTGAAGGCCATTCATCTATATACACAACTCACTGATTCAGCATACATTGAGCATCTACCCTGCCCAGCTGGTGCCCATTGCATTTCTGCCATGGAAGTTTGATGTCTTGCCCTGAGATTCTAAGGGTTAACACTCCTAAAATCAGTGCATTTATGACTGAGAGGGTTCAGACTTGGCCCTGGATTACTGTGGCCCAAGGATACAAAGACAAGGAGACTGGGGAGATTCTGTCATGAAGAAAAGGTGATCAAAAGATGTGCAACATTAACCAAACCACCAGCTGCTTATCTGGGATTCTGCCTGTACTTGTGACCTTGACTTTAGCCTTTCTGAGTGAATAGGTTCATATCTAAAAAGTAAGGACTATCATTTAGAAATATAGCTTATTCTTTTTCATGGAAAATTTTAAACTATGCCTAGTATACCTTGTTCCAAAGTAAACACAGAATAAATATTTATTGAAAGACTAAATGAAGGTTTTAAGGCATTCTGAAAGTTAGTACTCTCTAGTTTAACCCACAAATGTGGTCTTCTTTCTTCAGAGGCCCAAGATGTGTTGCTCGATTTGAGTATATTGGAGACCAGAAGGATGAGTTAAGTTTCTCAGAGGGAGAAATTATTATTCTTAAAGAGTATGTGAATGACGAGTGGGCAAGAGGAGAACTTCGAGAGAGATCTGGGATCTTCCCCCTTAACTTTGTGGAACTCATTGAGGATCATCCCACCTCTGGTACAAATGTTTTAAGTGAGTACAGAGAATATGGTTTTTTATTATGTCCTATCCTAATTCAAATAAACCAGATAATAGGTTAATTCTTAAGTTGCATATTCATATTGCCATATTTTTTAAGGTAGAAGGAAAAATGATTTTTAAATGGTAAACATCATTATTGGGATACTCATTGTTGTGGCAGTCTCTCAAAGAGCTGGTTTTGGTGTTTTAGGTAATTAGTGGTGGCTTCATATTAGAAATGGCAGGGAAAAAAATCACTGACTTTCAAAGAGAAATGGCCTATAGAGTATAACTAATGTGTATCCTCCTTCACCTTACAGTAAAGAAAACAAATCCGGAGAGGGTAGTGCTGGGCAAAGTTATACAGCCAGTACATGAAGAGACTGATCTGGAATCCCAGACTTTTCACTCTGCCCCCAAAGTTTTTCTCCAATATTATATGGTCTTTACAGCTGAAGTTTTGACATTTTTTTAAAATACAGGCACAAAGGTACCACTGAAAACCAAAAAAGAAGATTCTGGTGCAGATTATCAGGTAGGCTGCTTGAATAGATAACTGTAGTGAAAGCCAAGTTTTATCTCTGGGAGGACTATTAAAATCATAATTATCGAAAGAAAATGTTATAAATCATTTTTTGTGGGGTTTTTTCAGTTTATTTATTGATTTTTGGCAGTGTTGGGTCTTCGTTGTGTGCGGGCTTTCTCTAGTTGCAGAGAGCGGGGGCTACTCTTCATTGCAGTGCGTGGGCTTCTCATTACAGTGTCTTCTCTTGTTGTGGAGCACAGGCTCTAGGCACGCTGGCTTCAGTAGTTGTGGCATGCGGGCTCAGTAGTTGTGGCTCGTGGGCTCTAGAGTGCAGGCTCAGTAGTTGTGGTGCACGGGCCTAGTTGCTCTGCGGCATGTGGGATCTTCCCGGACCAGAGCTTGAACCCATGTCCCCTGCATTGGCAGGTGGACTCTTAACCACTGTGCCACCAGGGAAGCCCTGTAAGTCATTTTTAAATTCATGTAGCAAATATTTGAAGTAAATAGATGATTAATATCTTTATTGTGTATAGAGCTCGTACAAATGAGTTAGAAAGACATGCAAACCCTGATAAAAAACAAGGAAAGAGATATTATTAGAATATTCATGAAAGAGATACTATAAGTGGCTGATATTAAAAAAGTATTTAACCTTATAGTAATCAAAGAAATGCCTTGTAAAGAGACAATAAAATACCATTTAACGTATCTAGTTAATGAAGATTCAATACAACTCAACAGTAAATAAGTAATTTTAAGTATGTGAATGTTAAAACAGAGAAAGTGCAGATTATTGTTATCATTATTTTTATTTCTCACCCTAAGAAAAGGATGAACAATGAGACAAGGTTTTAGTCACAAAGATGGTCATGGTGGTGTTACTGTAACAAGAAAAAATTGGAAATAACCTAAACATGGTCATTATCGGGAGAATGTTCTGAGGACATTAAAAACTAGATTTGTAAAGTAAATGGCATGGGAGGAAAACATGTATTATAGGGAAGTTGAATATATAGCATAAAAAGACTATGAGGAAATGTGTTTGTTACCATTCACTTGCCCTTAGGTAGTGAGATTATAGGTGGTTGGGTGTTTTTCCCATTCTTCGTATATTTCCGAACTGCCAAGTGTTTAGGAACATTTGTATTATTTTATAATGGGAGAGAGAAAAAAATGGATTAAAATTCTTACACTGTATAACATGGCTTCAGAAGTGTTTAAACTGAATAGGAATGTGGGTGACTTCCCATTGTTTTTTGTGACATTATTTTAGAAGAGTGAGCCTGACGGGGTCATTGTTTGTCAAAATGTCAGTGGTAATTAGGCTGTGTGTCTCTCAATTCTTTCATCTTCCCCCCACTGCTAAAGTCAAACAGGAAATAAAGGGACTACAGTTCTCCAAAAGGAAATGTTCACATGGTTCCCTGTATTTCTTGGGAGTGACAAGTACCGTTCTTTAGGGTTGGTTACCCAAGTACAGAAACAAGACGGTAGGGTTAGGGTTTTTTGTTTAATTTTTTGTTTTTCTTTCAAGCCATCAGTTGATGAGAACTTAAGATGTACCAGGCACTGTGCTAAGCATTCTACACACATTACCTCATTTGATCCCCAGAGCAACTCTTAAGATGAAGCTGAGGCTCAGAGTAGAGAAGTTTCTTGCCCAGTGTCAGCTAGGAGGTAGCAGAGCTGACTGGCGGGCTCCAAGCCTTTGCTCTTAGTGTTATCCTTGCCTCTCTGCTTGGGCTTCTTGAACATAGGGCTCCCATCGTGACTTGGCAGTGATGCCTCTTCTCAGGGCAGAACCTTCTTCTGATGTGTTTGTAGTAAAAGCATTACTGTTGGAGCATTCCATCACACTAGCCCACCATATCTGGGTGATTATCCTGCCAGCCTTGGAGCTAACTATGCCTCATAAAATTAAAAGTGTGGGGACTTCCCTGGTGGCACAGTGGTTAAGAATCCGCCTGCCAATGCAGGGGACACAGGTTCAATCCCTGGTCTAGGAAGATCCCACATGCTGTGGAGCAACTAAGCCCATGCGCCGCAACTACTGAAGCCCGCGTGCTCTAGGGCCCGCATGCTGCAACTACTGAAGCCTGAGTGCCTAGAGCCCATGCGCTGCAACAAGAGAAGCTACCGCAGTGAGAAGCCTGTGCACTGCAATGAAGAGTAGCCCCTGCTCACTGCAACTAGAGAAAGCCCGCGTGCAGCAACGAAGACCCAATGCAGCCAAAAAAAAAAAAAAATTAGAAGTGTGAACTAATGAAGTCCTGTGCCATGGAATCTGATAGCCTCTGAAACACGTAGAGACCTGGGAATTAACAGAATGCCCATTCTGATCCTTCCTAATTTAGATAAAGAAGAACCTCACTGAAAATTATATGCTTTGCCAGAATGTTTTCATAGTATCATAAATACTATACACAAATATTGAAAGCTTTTATCTAATTTTAGTGTAACTGTCATAGATAATAATTAGAAAAAATTTTTGCTTAAGCATTATATAGCCCTTGAAAGCAGAAAGTCACAAATTTTATCACGTCTGTCATTTAGAATTCTATTTTAAGAAAAAAGTTACTGGAAACTTTTATTTCTGAAACTCAGTAGTGACATAAGGTATTGAGTGATTTAAAGTAGCCTTCAGGCTTTGAAATCTTATGACCCCTTAGCTTTTTTTCCACCACTTTTTAAGCTTTGTAGAAATTAATCTCAAATAAAATCTCACATTTCTTACCAAACTTCTGATTTGAAACAGGAGAACAGTCTTTCTGCAGAATGGTGTGAAGCTCTTCACAGTTTCACAGCGGAGACCAGTGACGACTTGTCCTTCAAGAGGGGAGACCAGATCCTGATCATAGAACGTGTGGACTCCGACTGGTACAAGGGCAGACTGCGCGACAGGGAGGGCATCTTCCCCGCAGTCTTCGTGCGGCCCTGCCCAGGTGGGACAGCTGCAAGGAGGCTCTTACCCTCTAAGGGGAGCATGAGGCCTTTGAAATGATACATATTCCGTTTCCCTCTGGCCATGTTCAATTTAAGTTGTTTGCCTACATTTGCAAGTTGATTCATAAAGTCATGCAAACTTTCTTCATATAATTTATTGAAGTTATGAGGAAAAGAGATTTAAAAATGCCATCAATTAATAATGGCTAATTTTGTCTCCTAAATAGTAATATATTTTGTATAATTTTTTTCCTGCTAAGACAGCATCCTTCATATTGTTGCAAGTTAAGTAAATTCAAAATTAATTGAAAGTATTATGTCCTGGGAATGACAAGGGGGTTTCTTAAAATGTTCGACTTGTGTTTTAGTCCAATGTCTTTCTATATATTTGAATTTTTGGTGTCTTCACAGCTGAGGCTAAAAGTATGGCTGCTTTAGCACTGAAGGGGAGGAAGGCCAAAGCCTTGTATGATTTCCACGGGGAGAATGAAGATGAGCTTTCCTTCAAGGTCAGAATGTGTATCTTTTTGTAATTGCATTAAGCAGCTATAAATTTTGAAATGTCTTCCACTGAAGGGTGGAACATTTGGGTGGAGTACTGATCATCAGTCAAGAAAGAACAGGGCTTCCCTGGTGGCACAGTGGTTGAGAGTCCGCCTGCCGATGCAGGGGACACGGGTTCGTGCCCTGGTCCGGGAAGATCCCACATGCTGCGGAGCGGCTGGGCCCGTGAGCCATGGCTGCTGAGCTAGCGCGTCCGGAGCCTGTGCTCCGCAATGGGAGAGGCCACAACAGTGAGAGGCCCGCGTACCGCAAAAAAAAAAAAAAGAACAGATCTCAGACCCTCATTCTAAAGGATGAGATTAGAGAAAGTGAATAGGGCAAATGTAAATTATCAGCAAGGCATTCAGGTACTTAAAGAAAGCCTTATTGATATCCATAGCACCACAGTCGCCTACCAAATTCCTTATTCCTTAGCCTTATAACATGTCTCACTAATGTTGGAGGTTTCATTGGTAGCCCTAGTAAAGGATGATCCTCTGCATGGCCCTTGCAGCCTTCATGTCTTTGAAACCAGTGGAGAAATCAGGTGGCACCTACTACAGCCGGCCTCTGCAGCAGTGCCTCATAAGACACCAGAGTCTTGTCCACAAAGACACTGACTAGACTTTAGGGAAATGATCCCAAAAGGTTAAGGTACTTTGCACAAGTTTTTTTTTAGAAGCCTAAAATCTAAATCTTAATCTTACTTCATCAAGGAAGTACCTTTCATTTTTTTTAAAGTAAAAAGAATACTTCCATGATCCTGTTTCCGCAGTCCACAGTTCGACCATGGTCAGAGGAAAGCACCCAGGGTAGTACTTTGGGATTGGGCCAGAGGAAGGAGGGTGGCTTTAGTAAGTCATTGCCATCAGAAGAGCCTGTGTCAGACAGTGGGAAATTCTCCATTATTGGAGACACTCAGAGGCAGGGGTGCCATAGAAGGAATTAAAGTATCCAGGAGTGATTAGACAAGATGAGACTTAAGACAGTGGGTTCCCAAACAAGGTTTTCATCTGTCTACAACAAAATGAGGAAAACAGTGATATTGTGTATGTGCGGGCTTTAGGGGAGCCATGGAGAAGGGGAGGCATGATAGATATATAAGGTTGCTAACTTTTCTATTTTGTGATGGAGTTTTACTTTATTCTGAGAATTTCTTCTTTTTCATATTAAAATATCATTCCTATTATAAAATATTATTAGTAAATGTATAGATTTCTTATGCAAAATTATAATTGGTAACCCTATATCAGTTTTTTTTTTAATTTATTGGTCCATAAAATCCAAATGTTTAGAAACTGTTGCCCTAGTCCTTTTCAATCTTGAGAGTCAGTGGCTCAAAATTAATTCCTTTTATCTTTACATAAAATGTTACTGCAAGTTAACACTCTGGATTCAGACTTTTTGGATATTATTTTGGCCTTCATTTAGGTTATGTCAATGTAACAGAATTCACAGTATCATCCAGAAAATAGGTTGTCTTCATTTTACAAATGCCTGGCTGTAAGCAAGATAGTTCTAGAGTTTTTTAGTTAATGGATTCTGCACCACTTTCAGAGTTGTTGATCATTAATATTTTATTAAATATCCACAGAATATTAGTAAATAAAACTTTTTAAAATTGTCCCAGCCCTCAGAAAACTGACATATTATGTATGTATGGATCAGAGCTAAGAAAAATAGTTTTAGTCAGTGATTATGTTATAGTTTAGGAAGTGGAAGGAACTTACTTGTTAGTCAGTGATTATGTTATAGTTTAGGAAGTGGAAGGAACTTACTTGTAACAGAAACTTTGAATGCCAGAATTTTTACAGATTTTAGCAAGGTAAATTAATGACATGGGATAGTCAGCATTTTCCCTTAAGAAAGGCCTTAAATCAAACCAGTTTTCCAAAGGGCAATGTCCTAGGGCTACAAATAAATCCATTTAGCCTGATAAAGATATTCTTAAAAGTAGCCAGGGTCATCTTGGACCATTATAGAATCCTAAACCCAGATTCTAAGCAACAGTTAGAAACCATAAAGAACAAAATAGTTTCAGGAGATAACAGATGAAGACATAACTTTTGAAATTGAGAAATTGTAATTCATACACAAATAAGATACACAACCCCTTTGACTAACCTGATGAGGATAAATCATGTGCTGAGTCAGGGTGAAGCTCTTTAAGACAGGAAAGAATGCAAATTTGATATTGAGGCCCTGGAGGAATGGAATAAACTAAATGGTAGAGGAGAATACCATTATGTGGAAGAATATATAGAGTACAAAGTGCTCAGGATGTTGAGAAAAGGCAATTGCAGTAAAAACCTTTCTAAGTAAAAAGGTCTGCTGTAAAACGTGGTGACCTCATGCCTAATAGCAATACGGGCCCTGGAATCACACTAGGTTTGAATTCTGTCTCTACCACTAACTAGACATGCAACACTGAGCAAGTCACGTAATCTGACCTTCAGTTTCCTTTTCTTTAAAATAAGGAAATCTATAAAAATATTTCTCAAAAATGGGGATAATAGTACCCACTTCTAGGACTGTGTTGTTGTTTAAATGAATTAATTTCCACTATTCTTAGTTTGTTAAAAAATAAAAATAAATGAGTTAATTCCCATGAAGTACATAGAAAAGGACAAGGCATACAGTAAACATATGGTTCGCTCTCTCATCTTCAGATCTTTGCATAAGTGTCACCTGGTTGCCCTAAAGAGATGGCAGCCCACACTTTCTGTCCTCCTCTGCTGGCTTATTCATCTCCCAACTCTAGAATAAGGGCTTTACTCTTTGCTGTATCCATAGTGCCCAGAATAGGGTCTGACACACAGTGGGTACTCAATAAATAATTGTTAATGGGGAAAAAAATTTTTATATATATGATAGCTGGTACTTTTATTTATTAAAGAAGAATTTTAGATTAAGAGTGGTGAATTTGGGGGGGGGCACAAAATACAACCAGGAAAATAAAAGTGCAACAAGGGTGACAATGGCAAAGGAATGCACTTTGAGGAAAAGAGCATACAAGCTAATGGCATCATTAAGGTTAGATCATCTTTGTGGTACACTGTTTAATCCTCTCGGCAAATCAAGATAAGTGAGTTATATAAAGAGGAGATGTACATGCCTCTCCAGGTGGGCTGCTTACCATGCTTATCCTCAATAGAAACTAATAATTATTTTTAATTCCTGTCTTCTTACAGGCTGGAGACATAATAACAGAGCTGGAATCTGTAGATGATGACTGGATGAGTGGAGAATTGATGGGAAAATCTGGAATATTTCCCAAAACCTACATTCAGTTTTTACAAGTCGGCTAAAGGTGAAGCTTGACTGTGTTCCTTGGCACAAGAACTCGCTTGAACTATCACTTTGACTATCAGATATGTTTTTGCACTATTTTTTTAAACTGAAAGAAGTATCTATGCTGTACATGGTATACTAGAATTTTCTGAAAGCAGAAAACATCTGATTTTGTAGTTAGCTTTCATTCACAGTAGAAACGTGTGCATGGAAACCCATGAGCACATTTCTACCAAGGAGGACATCAAGCAGGATTAGCAAGGCAGGCAGACCCTTTCCCCCGGGAAAGTGTCTGGTGACAGGGCAGCATGAGGACACTTAGAAGCAGAAGTTGCACTTGGACCTCTGTGTTCATCAGCACAAGTAAATTAACCTGCTTCTTCATTTTCTACTTTAGTTTTAAAAGAGGACATTTGTTATTCTACATGCTGTAAGTATCAGGCCATGGTTGGTAACCTAAATTTCATTACTGATATTCAAATTAATTCTAACAGCTTGAGCGCATTATCCTTATTACTGGAGCAAAGCCTTGCTCCAGGAGAGGGTAGTTCATTGACTAGTGGGAGCCTTTGTGAGCACATGGTGAATCAGCTCACAGTCACCACATGCACCTGTGGTAGCAGGTGTTTCCCCTTTGTCCCAGTGTTTGTTTGAAAGGGGTTGAAATTTGATGTATCTTAGTCAAAAGAACCAAAACCATCCTGAAATGCCTTGCTAATACAACTAACCCTTCCACATACCTACAGTACTTAATTTCTTTCCTCTGTGTATACTTTATGTTAACAGGGTTATTACAAGCACATTTTCTGAATCTGCAATCATTCTTTTGACAATTACTGGTACCCAAAGAAAAATTCATTTTCTTTGAGTTACCCCAGTAATATATAAAACTATGTCTTGTTATAGTGGTACATTATGAATCACATATATCTCAGAATACAGAGCAACTGTTAAGATGGAAAACAATGCCAAACCCCCAGCTCATTCTTCCAAATATAATCAGAGCGAAAAATAATTTGAGAATCTGAAGGCTGATACTTTTGGGGTTGTTTTCTTTTTTCTCCAGCTCTTCCCTGCACAGTTATTAGAGTAAATAAAAAACCACTTTCCTGCTATCCATTGTTATGCATTCCAGGCTTAAGATAAAAGTGGTTCCTTGCAACACTGAATCAATTATAGTTTATGGGCTAAAGCCAAATAGGTCGAAGACAATCTTCCCAACAGATCAATGGAATAGAATTTCATTGAAAATGTAAAACACTTTCCCAACTATGTTCATAACTTTCTTCTATTTTTGAGAAGAGTTTCATATGCTGGGCCACTTTTTAGCTTTTTTGTTTCCACTGTCTGAATTCAAAGTTAGGCAGTAAGTGGTGAAACCATCATGTGAACACCATGTGGGGTTCTGTAAGGGAGGAGATATTTACTCTGTCTTTTATTAAAGTTCATTTCCCAGTATATGGTTAAAATTGATTTTGGAATATGGGAGCTGTTTGTTCTACATGTTTTGGGTAAAGAGGACAGTATAAAGAAAACTGGTCAAATTTCACTCAAGTTATTTCATAAGAAATGGATGGCTTAAAACATATTATCCCAACTAAATTCCTATTTGCAGCAAGCTTGTACAACAGCAGGAAAGTGAGAAGTGGGGGGTAGTGTCTGGGATAGGACATGAGGTATATTTCTTTGCCTGTGTAATTTTAACATCTTATATCAAAGATCATGAAAACCTAGCTTTATTGGAGAAAAATATTCCTTTTAAATTTTGGCCTCTGTCAGCAGAATGATAAGTGCAATAGTTGTAAATCTACTTGACACTATAATAAACCGAACTGAACTTTTCAAAGTCCTTTTCTCATACATATTAGACTAAGGTTTTTGAGAACAGAGTTGGTATCTTATCTTTATATCTCCAGCCCTTTGCACCATATAGGCTCAATAGAGGTTTTTTGGTTGGTTGATTGGTTGGCGGGCTGGCTGGACAACTTTCACATAATAAATAGTGATACTATCTTGGATCCAATATGCTCCAATATCTTTCCTCTTTATTGATAAAAATCTTCATTGAAACAAAATTTGCAGTTTTATGTCTTCCACTCCATCATGCTTCATTTTTTGCTTGCCATTTATTACCTACTCAACTGACAAGAAGTAAAAATGTAGCATGGTGTAGGTTTTTCATAGGTACTTTTATTTATTTATTTATTTATTTAATTTATTTTATTTTTGGCTGCGTTGGGTCTTCATTGCTGTGCACAAGCTTTCTCTAGTTCCGGCGAGCAGGGGCTACTCTTCATTGTGGTGCCCAGGCTTCTCATTGCGGTGGCTTCTCTTGTTGCAGAGCACGGGCTCTAGGTGCACAGGCTTCAGTAGTTGTGGCTCGTGGGCTCCAGAGCGCAGGCTCAGTAGTTGTGGCGCACGGGCTTAGTTGCTCCGCGGCATGTGGGATCTTCCTGGACCAGGGATCAAACCTGTGTCCCCTGCATTGGCAGGCGGATTCTTAACCACTGCACCACCAGGGAAGCCCCTTCATAGGTACTTTCTTATTCTGTATATTGACTGAACATGATTTTTATACTCAGTGAATTTCATAGTGAAGAAATAGAAATGTATTCTATTTCTATTTTAGTTTAGGAATTTTAGTTGAAAACCTAATGTTGTTCATCCAATCCTCCTCAAACTAGAATCTCCAAATCCTTTTTCTTTGGTGGGTTAAAACTAGAGAAGTCATTTAATATGACTAGGGTTATTCTTACCCTTTTTGTGCTCATGGAAATCACAGGTTTTTAATACAGTCTGAAACATTCATAATGAAAGAAAAATCAGTACATTTATCAAAATTTTAGAAATGGCATTTGTGAAAAACAAAATATATTTTTCTATAGGGTTTTTTATGTATCAGTACTCTTAACAATAATTGTTTATAGTTTTTGTTCAGCTTCTTAAGCTTAGATAAATATACATAGAGAAAGTGATGTTATAGGCTAATTATAAGGGGATGTTTGGTATAATCATTAATGGTTTATTCTTTTTAATTAATGTCAGATGTACATGGACCATATGATTCATAATTCAGTGCCATTTTGAATGCCATTTTAAACGAATGCTTAACAGTGAATTTTTCAGAACTAAATAGGAAATAATTTTCTAACCTACTCCTTTTTATTTCACTGTAGTTAGTTACAGAGGGGGGAAATACAAAGCCTAACTCAGAACACCACCACCATCTAGGGGCCTTTCACCTAATTGCAGTCTCATCCTGTTAAACCACAGAAAAGTCTGAGGATCAGAGCTCAACCTGCAGAGGTTAAATGATTTGCCTAAGGTCATAAAGGTATGGCAAAGCCTAAAGCAAAACCTAGCTCTACTGATTCCCGATTCAGTACTTTTTATATTTGTTTTGCTAAAGTGATACATTTCTCTTTAACAGTTAAACAAGTAGAATTGATTTGCTTTATTGTAAAAAGTTGTAACTTCTCAAATATAATAGTTATTATTAGAATGAACTGCAGAGAACAAAGCCTCGAATTGATTCCTTTCAAGAAGAAAAGAAGGGGCTTCCCTGGTGGCACAGTGGTTAAGAATCTGCCTGCCAATGCAGGGAACATGGGTTCAAGCCCTGGTCTGGGAAGACCCCCACATGCCGCACAACAGCTAAGCCCGTGCACCACAGCTACTGAGCCTGCAAGCCTAGAGCCCGTGCTCCACAAGAGAAGCCACCGCAATGAGAAACACGCGCACGGCAACAAAGAGTAGCCGCCGCTCACTGCAACTAGAGAAAGCCCATGTGCAGCAACAAAGACCCAACACAGCCAAAACTATATTTAAAAAAAAAGGGGGGGGGGGCTTCCCTGGTGGCGCAGTGGTTGAGAGTCCACCTGCCGATGCCGGGGATGCGGGTTCGTGCCCCGGTCCGGGAGGATCCCAC